CTTACTCATCTTTGCCATCATTGCAGGAGCCTCGCGATTATAGTACTTACGTGTCCATTCTAGTAAACAATCCACCCTAATCTTCGACACGCTATGTGTTTCCTCCAATCGAAGAGCACAGAACCGGTCTTCACCCTTCTTGGAATGCACCCATTCTTCCTGTTCTAAAGAGAAACAGTCCTTGAGTTCACATTTCAAGTCGTCATACAGTAGACGTCGTATCACAGATCTCCATCGGAACGGAATAGTACCATCCGATCACAGGAGAGATAATCCTTCTGTCTTTGTAGGCAACGCCAACTACCAAGCCAGCACAAACATTGTTCAACACTTCTTGTTCGATATTCGGAGCTGGTTCAGTCTCCTCCAACTTCCATCAGCGGTGAGTCCAACACAACACACGCGTTCGTCTTTTCTTCAGTCTTGTTGAGAACGCCCTTAAAATCACGGTTGGCACGCTTTGACTCATCCGTAGTCGCGAGCGTTTGGGAACACCACTCCGTCCAAAATTCAGGCGTGGACCTCACGTCTTTTGACGCTTCCTTCGTCTTCCCGAGCTTTTCCACTGGAATCCCCAGTGTCCGGCTCATTTCTTCCAAACTAGGCGGTTTCCGCGCCTTAGCATTCTGCTTCATCCGCCGTTGAAGCTCAACTTCGGCTAACGGATACAGCTGGTCCTTCCATTCTTTGTCGCATTCCTTAGGCTCTTCCTTCGCCAAATCGTAAGAACTTTGTTCGATCATGTCCAGCTCATTTTAAGTGAAAAAGCGTCCATGACGTCCACTTAGCGTCCCTCATTGAGTACGACCACACTCACTCATATTGAAGCCACATGCGTTTTCCTACCCTCGATGCCATGTCCTAAGTCAAGGCCTCAGGTGTTCTTCCTGCCCTCAACGTACGCACCAGGATCAAAGCCACAACCACCCGCTTGCCTCGATGTCAGTTTCTTGGACAAGGCCACAGGCATTTCTCCTGCCCTAATCCGTTCCAATATTTAGTCCACAGGCATCCCGCCTGCCCTTCGAGTGAGTTCCACAGTCAAGTCCACAGGTGTTCAACTTGTCCTTGACCTTTTCGGGTTGCACAGCCGAAATCTTCTCGACTCATGCAAGTTCCACGTCTCCATTCCAATCTTGATGCACAGACATCGGATTATTATTCACGCGTTTAACTTCCTTCGCTCCAAATCCTCTCACCTTTTTATTTCAACGCCTACCATTGTCTCGGAGAATATACCCATTCCTTGAATAGTAGTGGTAGAGGTCTGAACGACAGGCTTCACGACTTGTTCCACTACGCATGACACTGTTGCTATCCTATCTTTGGATTCACGCGCGACGGCCGGCTCTTGTTTTTCGAGATTGGCGAGGTCCTCCTTGCCATTGAGAGAGCCAACCATGTCCCTTTTCTTCAGCAATGCGTTCCCAACGAGGTTATCCTTGCTGTTGAGAGAGCCAACCTCGTTGTTGAACTTCTTTACCACATCCGTATTAAGGTCCTCCGTGCTATGGACAGCTCCAACCTTCATAATGTAATTCCTGTACACAATCACTTCGATGTCCTCTTTGAGAGAGCCAAGCGCATCCTTTTCCTTCTTTTCTTCCTTGCACGTGAGTTTCTTCCCCGTGCTCTTCAGTTCATCAGTCAGCGTCACAACAATTCCAGTCACTTCACCTTCCGCTTCGCTGGTGATCTTGCACGCCGTTCTACTTTCATTCCGCGGAGAAACACTTGACTTCCGTCCCACAGTATTTCTCTTTCCAATCCTGGGAAAAACGCTCGACTTCCTTTTCACAGCGTTTCTCTTTGAGTCACTTCTTAGGCCAGAAGAAGGAGCGACACTTCCTTCTCCTTTCTCCTGTCCCCTTCATTGTTGTGACTGAGCAGCACTCGTTGCTGTCGATGCGTTCGTCGCCATCGACCTTAGCACATCCAACATGGGACACTTTGACATGGAGTGATCGCTCACCTTGAACATCGAGCACGACAGCGAACGATTCCCTGTGAAGTGCCTTCGACCACAAACAGTTACACATTCTTGCGTTCTCGAATCGGGGTTCATGCTTATGTTAGGTAAAAGCTTGTTGACCGTTCCACTTGGCGCCGGCAACGCCACAGTAGTCTGCGTAGTCGAGACAGGCAATGCCGCATTAATTCCATGATGTCGAGGCGACCGAGGATGAGCCTGGCGAGCGTTCTGCTGCTGTTGCTGCAACAACAAACGGTTCAGCTGTTGTGTCTCCTTCAGCAAATCCTGCGGCGACAGTAAGACCGCACTCGTCGTATCCGCGAACTGGTCCTCTTCCTCGATAGGCAAATGCATGTTTTTGTAGAGTAACAAAGAGCACGCATCATCAATAGACGTAGACATACTTGCGTTCAACAATGCTCTCACCTACTTGTTTCGAATACAATACACAAAGAACTCAAACTCAATCCTCGGCTCAAAGTAAATGAGCGCCTCACACATCCGAAAAATACCATCGCCCCATTCCTCGGCCGATTCACCACGGTTACGCTTAGCCGTTCGCAAACGATTCCACATCTGAGCCGGACTCTGGCTGATGAATCAATTGTGGAAACGTCGACGTAGAGACAATGCGCGAGTTATACCACCATTCTTGACCAACTTTTCCCTTAAGACGTTGTTCGAACGCAGTCAACCTCAAATCGTCATTTATACCGTTAGTGCACATCTCAAATGAACGCCAAAACGCGGCTGCTCTTTCCCTTGTTGCATTGTCAGAATAGAAAGGTATGTTATTTTCACAGCATTCCGAAGTTCCGTAGGGATTCCACCATAACCATGTACCAACTGGAACGCTCCTTTTTGACCGTTTTCTCCAGCAGGAGCATTTCCCGAAGGTACCAATGCGTTTCTAGCTGCAGGTTGCAAACCAGGATTGGTTCCAGTTTCATGTTGATAAGCGTAAGACGTAGGCGTCATACCAGTTTCAGAAGCTGGGTGCAGCACGGGTTGAAACGGCATGTTTTATGTCATCCGCATGCAATTAACCCCAGGAGTAGCACCAATAGCTCGTCCACCATAAGTAGGGATCGCCATCATCGGCATCTGTCCAGGAGTATACGCCATACCAGGCGCGGAACCAGAAGTCGTAACCCCAACATTTGGGGTAGGCGTAGTAGCAATCGTGTTAGTCGCAAACGCAGACGTAGTCGGAGTACCACAAGTCAAAATGGTCGAAGTGATTCCAGAACTAGATGACAACTCATTAGTGTTGGCGCTAATACCATCTCCCAGTAATCGAAGTTCCCGTCATAGTTGCAGTGGTTCCAGAAGTGACAGGCGGAGCTGTACGGTTCGGGAATCTCTTTAACCCCTCCGTTATTAAGTCCGTCAAAAACTCATCAAGTTCAAGGTCCACCTGAGGCACTATTCCTCCAGGAGAAGGTGGGTGAATGTGTCGCCTGAGAGGTTGTTCCACTCGACGTCTATTGCGTCGATATCGTTCCTCATTCGGTGGGGTAGCAGTCGACTCTCCAATCGTTCCACCGGTAGATCCTGAATTACCTTAGTTTGTCACAGGAAGACTAATTGTCGTAGTAGCAGTTCCAGCTGTCGGCGGAACCTGTAAAGCTGCGAGCTCAGAACGCGTTTTCGAAAACGATCCAAACGTGAAGCCACCTACACGCGCTGGGGTACTTGTCGTAGTTGTTGAGTGTCTAGTCGTATGAGTCTACGAAATATCCCCATAAACCCCATAAACTTGAGACACAGGAGTCACTACCGTCGACACACTAGTAGAGGTTCTTTCCGTCGTGTTATCCAAGCTGGCTACATTGTCAGCAAACCGAGTTTGACGTTCAATAACTGAGGCTATAGCAGCAGCTTCCTCGTTACCAGTCTGCTCGTGAGTCAATAGGTCCCAGAAGTTTTCTAGAAACGTGCGACCTCGAGCTGTTTGCAGAAGTGTTTGTCCTTGCTCTCCTTCGCGTTCAGCTCCGGTTGTCCCAGTATCATCTTCGATTCTGCGCGCGTTTTATCCTGGGAGAGTGGTTACTTGAGGCACACTTCCCTGTTGCTCGACTTGATCACTGAAGTCGATTATCTCCGACTCAGACCTTGGGTCCAAGAAAGGAGAAGAAGAATCAGAAGCGTAGCTGTCGCGTGGCGCATCCTCGTGGCGACCTTCCGCAGTGTCACTCATGTTGTTTGCAATTGTCTCTTGTGACCGACTGTTCTAGTTGGACGTTGTTTACGCGTACCACTGGTTCGAAATCGAACGTCGCAGAAGATATTTTCCCGCAAACTGTGAAGTTACCCTGCTTCTCCACCAAACTGCCCTGAATTAACCTCGCCAGAGGTCGTACGGGTATCTTCGGCTCACCGAAAAGTATAGTTTTGACGATTAAAGTTGTAGAATAGAACAAGCTTCTTTGCTGTTTTAGTTGTTGTCTTGACGAGGTAAATCCGAATCTAACAAACTTCTAGCAGCTCGCGCTCGACGAGTCCTACGCGATCTTGTCCACTTTGCTGCTCGAAGTCTTCGTGTCCACCGAAAATGTATCGTAGTTATAAAAACAGTTTCAACCCAAGTCTTCTTTCCCTTGACGCACATCTTGCACCGATTAACTCATCACAAGTGACGAGACTTCCGCATTGACGACACTAGGCACCTTTTCGAACGTCTCAGCTTAATCTTCAACTGCACCGCAACGAATTCTCTCAATGACCTTGTTCAACTCACTGTTCCACAGCGCAACCAGCGCTGACTCGGGACAATTCATTCTCCGGCCGACGTGTCCTCATGGGACTACATCACCCCGAAGCGACTCCGTCTTGAGCGTTGTCGCAGAAAGTCGTTGGCGAGCCCTGCGCAGTTCAAGTCCAACTCATCGACCCAGCTCGTCTCTTCATATTCACGCCACTTCGTACGGAACTCGCGAAGCGTACGACCGTAACGGGTCTTTTATCCTTCGCGCACGTCAAGGATTTGTTCCACCTCACACACGTCTTTGACTAAGTCGCGCGTCTCTCAGCTATCCTCCGGTAGATGCTCCTCGTCGAAGTCGAAGCGCTCTCGAGAGGGTACTGTCAGTTGCAGTTCAAGTCTCGACGGGAACTCACGGACGGGTTTTAGCTTTGAGAGGTGCATGATCAGGAACAACTGGTACGGAGTCCCGTTGGTCTCTAGACGTACAGCGTACGCGCTAACCCGTTCTGCAACGCGAAACGGCCCGTACCACATATTGACACGATGCGGGTGAACGCTTTTCGTGTTGGTGTATAGTTTGCGTGCTAGTTCCGAAGTTCCGACTGGACTTCGTAGTCTAGAACAGACCCAAGTGAAGTAATCAAAGTGGGTTGGCGTGTGTTCCTTGTATTCAATCCCTATAGGTTCGAACCCGTAAGACCCGAAACCAGGGAGATACACCGTAATGAGATCCTGAGATGGATGAAGGTGTTAGTGTACGGGGTAGAACGTAACTTCCTTAGACGTCACCACCGATAGCACGGATAACCAAATACAAATATACAGACAATGAGATATAGGCACAAATATGTAGGCCTTCTTTATTCTTTGGGACCGTGGAATGCTCGGTCACTCGTCCAGTTCAACTAGACCACAATACCAGGGCACTGGTCAACCCCGGCTGGTCCTTCGCGCACCACTCTCGAATGGAGAGAAACAATACAAGTCAATACACTTCTCACCCGCAGTTCTTCAGTCAGGCTTATACGTTGGGACTGACACACCAACGCACAAGGTAATCGGAATATGAAATAGGGGACCCCTTTCGGAGAGACAGCCCTAACTAGGAAATGGAATGGGCGGTTCACTCCGAGTGGATGGTCACACCCGGTCCCCAACCCAATGTGGCCTTGATACTTACGGAGAAGCTCCTCGTGTGATCGCTATCGCACGAGCCCTGCCACGAAGTTGTCACGGGGCCTCCTGGAATGCAAGTCAGGCAGGTTTGTCCAGCGCAAGCGGTCTGCGGGTTAGCGGGAAAATTGAACTATGTTTGTCTGTTATCTATATTCAATCTGTTTGACCGTAAAGGTCACTACATCCACGTTTGTACTTGCTCCTTGTATGAATATCTTGTGTTCGTCGTAGTAGTCATCACTTGATCGTGTACGAAGTACCTTGGCGTCATCAATGTTGAGTACATGGTTACTTGATCTTCTCAAATGCTCGGCTCCAATTGGTCGATAGCTGATCTTCGTCGGGGTTCGTCGATGTTCGTCGTCAGTTCCTTGAATGTTCGTTGCACCAAAAGCAGATCATCGTTGGTCGTCTTGGTCGGTCGGGTATCACTTGACTTTAGTATAGTCAGATCTTCAACGTGGACTTGTCCGTCCGGACTGATACACTGGGAATTCCCATCCGGGCTTGACCAAACGAGCGACTTCCACCTTTAGTGCTTCTGGGCCATCAGTGCCTTGGCGGATATCATCTGGGATCTTGTATAGGTTAATATCGGGTATGCATGTATGGCACTCTTGTTATGCCAAGGAAGGCAGCTCCTACGACTCTCTTGGTCGGGGAGCACTTTGCGTCTTGTGAACATTTCCTTCCGTCTGGAACTTGATGCCGACCGGGAATTTCCGTCTGGGATCCACTTGGGGGACGTGGCAACTAAGCCAATGCATAACGTCCCATACCTTCACTGCACACCAAACCCTGTATCCACTGATCCATTTGTCACACGAACTGGCCTCTCGAACTGACCAATCATATACCGTCTGGGAACATTGTCCCAAAATCGTGAATCACATCGTGTCAACATGTGCGAGCTTCCGCAAATATCCCGGCTTGACTCGATCCAGATACAACCAGACTCGTGAGCCCCGATCTATCGCGTGCTCAGTGGCGTGCGCGTTATGGCGTGCCGCTCTCACGTCCACTGTCTCGCGCACCAGTTCCTGGGATTGTTCGCGTGCTATCTGGTAGTGACGCAGAATGTTCATCGTCCACCGTCGATCTTCTGCATCTCGGCACGATGTGTTGCCCACAGCTAGCGCCGCTTTCAGTGTAGACCGCGGATCCCAGCCATGCACGAGGACAAACGGGGTTTCGTCCCGCGTTCGGTCGTGAGCCGTGTTAAGCGCATATGTCAGTCGCTCTGCGTATTGGTCCCAGTCGCGTTGGTCGATGTCGGCAATGTACATCGTGATAGCTCTTATAATGGTCTGCACCATGCGTTCTGCCGCCCCGTTTACTTGCGAACGGTAGGCGAGCGTCGCGCATTGGCGCTGTCCCATCAGCTTGTTGAAAGCCTTGAAAAAATGTGACGTGAAGCCGAGCTCACGGTCGTGACGGATTGTTTCGCTGGCACCGAAACGTCTGAAGACGGCTTCCTCATACGATTCCGCGACGGTTTGAGCCGTTCGAGACGCACTCGCCTTCGCGATCACGAAACCCGTGAAGAGGTCGACCCAGATCAAGCGTTCCGTGTTGCCTTTATGCGACGCGGGTAATGACGGGATATGGTCCATTGCCACGACTTGGAATGGGTACGACGCGACTATATTGCCTAGTGCCTCTCCTGGGATCGTGGGATGGCCTTTCCCCGTCTCAGAGTCAACGCATTCTCCGACGTGGCGTTGTACGCTCTTGAACAGCTCTGGCTAGTGGAAGGGTTGTCGTACCCGTTGATATATTCAACCGATGCCCTGATGTCCGCCTTCCAGACTTGTGTGGTAGTGGTGCTACACGTCTCCTCTGAGGGTCTTTGGAACGACCAGTTTCATGATCGTATCCCGATGTTCTCGGTCTCGCTCCCACGTACGTGGTATACAGTATACCACTCCCCCCACTCTGTACTGTTCCGCTAACTTGGCGCTGTTCTTCGCTTCGCGTTTGGACAGCTCGCTAATGTCCCCGTCTAAGAACTTATTTAGATTGGCGATCCAAGTATTTTCCTCTTGCGCAGTACGGACTCGATCCGGACGGAGTCGTTGAACTTCGAGCTCTTTCAAGATCCTAGGTTGTTCCTTCGGCGCTGGATTAGACGCGTCTCGTGTGACCATGGTGCAAACTTTTCTCGTTCCGCGTTCTGCGTCATCTTGAGCGCACGTCTCAACCTCCCGGACGGGGTCGTCTGGATCGTGCGTCTCAGTTCCTGATGCGTGCTCGCCGCATTTGCATCGCGTGTCGTTGGGTGCACAACTTCTCCCAGCCGGTTCAGGGTTCTCAGATCTTCCAGCTCTCCCGCGCTATAGATATTTTTATCACCTAGGCGCTTGGGTGCCTGTCCGGCCAACATGTCCGCGCTAGCGTTCTGGTCTCGTCGGACGGGGACCAACTCGTGTTCGGGCCATTCTCGCAATGTGTTCCATGCCTGCCGTCTCAGCAACTTTAGTCCGGGTGACTTGCAGTCCATCTCGCCCCGCATCGGACCTGCTATCAGATTGGAGCCCCTGCAGATGACCAGTCGTGCAACGTTGAGGTCGTCGAACAGCGAGATCCCGAGCAGCATGCCTCGGTATTCGGCTTCGTTCACGGTGAGGCGTTCTGCATACCCCGATGAAGCGCGGACCACGTCCCAATACGGCCGTTTCCACACGACGGCGCTGAATGCCCCTCCCTCGCGTTTGACGCGGGAGGATCCGTCGAAACTGATCACGTGCAGACTCTCGGTCGGTCCAATCTACGGAACCAGGATCGGGCAGTTCTAGACGGGTGTTTTACGCGGTGCGACCTCCTCTAGTTCGGAGGCAACCTCGGCGTAATGCTTGCGGCCAACGCGCCCAGGATCTCTTCCCCCTTTGCGGATAGGAGAATCTCCAATCTCCACGGCGAGAGGATTGCAGCCCATTGCGAAAGTCGTCCTTGAAGACCTTTAGAGCGGAAGAGCCAACCGAGCGTCGTGTGTCGGGTTAAGACGCGAATCGTCCTCCCTTCTAGCATGTTATGACACTCGTTTAGGACGGGTAACAGCGCTAGGATTTCCTTCTCGGCGATGCTGTAGTTCAACTCGTTGGGCTTCAACATCCAACTGGTGAACTTGACGGGTGGAAATCCCTCGTCTTGGGTAAGCACGGCCGTCACGGCCCAGTCACTCGCAAACACGATTACCACCGGCTGCTTATCCGTATCGAAGTGTTTCAACATGGGTGTAGTCGCGATCTTACTACGGAGCGTTCCAAACGCGCGTTGCGCGTGAGTCCACCTTTCAAGATCGCGTGTCTCAGGATTCGAGATCCGTTGTTCAAAGTCGCGGGCGGTGAGGGAATAGAGCGCGTTGTCGTAAACCGCGAAGGCCGGAATGAAACGATGGTAGTAGTTAAGACTACCCAAGAATGACTGTAGACCCTTCTGCGTACGCAGGAATTCCAGCTTCGCTAGGGTCTCTAAGTTCTTCGGCTCCCTCCGAGTCCATATTTCGACACTTCATGACACAGGTAATCCACTCGGCAGTCTCCATTCACTTTTCTCCACGCTGATCGATAAAGGACATTCCTCGCAGAATTCAAGGAGACGTTCCCCCTTGTTGCATAGAACGTCTCACGACGTACCTCCGATCACGATATCATCAATGTACGACCGCCGAATTATAACGGATCTCGTTCCAGGCTTAGACTGGATCAGATCTCTGAAAATGTCGCAGGTGTTCCCCGTCGGAGACAGCTCCCAGAAGCCATACAGCGCGTTGTCTATCAACCGTTGGTATATTTGCGGCGCATTGCACAGACCGAATGGGATGCGTAGCCACTCGAACAGCCCGAACGGCGTAACGAAAGCGGAGATAAGACAGGCTCGGTCTGTCATGGGAACCACCCAGAATGCGCTGGTCATGTCCAAAAAACATACTTATCCAGGTCTTCCAAGAAATCCGTGACCAGTGGCATCGGGTATACCATCAACTGGGTCAACCTGTTGATCTGTCGATAGTCGACGCAGAGTCTGATGTCGACCCCGTTTTTCTTCACGATGACGACGATAGGGGAGGCGCACGGTGACTTAGCTGCGCGGATAACGCGCGCGCTGACGAGTCCTCAAATCCGATCTGCTAATTTCTTGCGAATCTGCGACGAGATCTTCCGGACGCGCTGTGGGACGGGTCTCGCGTTTCCCACGTCGATGTCGTAGATGACGCCATTTGCTACGGGCTGCAAAGCGTTGCCTTTCCCGATAAGCCATGTGCGCTTCTTCCAGACGGTCTGACGTAGTCGCTCCTCCATCTCTGCGGCCTCCTTCGGATCCACACCTTCCGGACGCCCAATCTTGAGATTCCCGATCTTCACTTCAGCTGTCAACGGGACTTCCGGTAGCACTTCCATCTCAGCTTCCACATCTTATGAAACAGGTCCGACCCTTCGTGGAATATTACTTTCTCATCGGCATGTTCGTATTCAGGGATGTCTTCGAAACTAACGTCGAGATCGTTTGGCTCGTTGAGCAACCCCGTCGTAGGACGCGGTCCATACTCCAGTCCTGTCTTAGGATGCGATCCATCTTCCGGTCCCGGAGAACGGGCTTCCCGAGTCGGGGTTATGTTGGTAGACGCGCCCGTATCTCCCTGTGAGATCGCTGTCACTACCGCGACTCGTTCCTGCTGACCCTCTTCTCGCACATTCTGTACTTCTTCTGGACGGTGCATGACCCTCTACGGTCTGGGGTATACCCATCGTTCCGTCATTGGCTCGCGTGAATCTTGGTAGACATCGCCGCCGTTCAACGGCTGACATGGCCCCGTACGCCAAGTTTTGCCACTCGTCGTACTTCTGCGATCCCGGTCGCACGAACCTAATCGCGCGGGGTATCGAGTCAACGGGCGTCCACAAGCCAATCGTGGTGTGTGCGTCTAGGACGACCGACTTCTCCGTGATGTTGGTAACGCGTAAATCGTGGGTTGTCCAACAGGGGCCTTGATTACGGATGTTACCCATGTCGTTCCTCGCGTCACCCACAAGCGCGGGGCGTTCTTCTCCGACCGCAGCGACACGTGGAGCGTCTGGGCCGCGGCGACGCGGATCAATGCCAGGACCGTCACCGGGCGTCTTCGACCGGTATAGCGGCCGTTTCCTGGTCATTTGGATACGAAACTCGTCTGACAAGCACGCAGTTCCGTCCGCCGTGTCGATCCGTGGCCCCGCCAGTACCATGATGTTCATTCCGAAGATTGCATTCTGGCCAACAAGGTCTCCGACCCTGGGGTCCATGTAGTATACCATGTTCCCCTCCAGTGTGACCTTGACGAACGTCTTCCTCACTGTGAAGTATGTGTCGTCTCTGATGTCTACTCATTCCTGGGTTACACTCGTATCAATTTGACAGCCAAACTCACGGGTGAAGGTGGTGTCCAAGATGGACACCTCGGCGCCTGTATCGAGTAGCAGGACGCCCTACCCGTTATTCAGTTTTCCAGGCATCTTCGCTTGTTTATACCACTTGTCCGGCGCGTAGTGTTTCCAATATTCACGTCGTTCTCCTGGTAGGAAGTCGGTTACGCCCGTCGCTGTCTCACACGCGTACTTATCCGTGGATCGAATTGTCGAAACTGCGAGAGCGCGTCCTAGCGCGGTACGTACCATTTTGGATTCGCATGTATTATCATTTAGTATTGTCGTGCGTTTACTAACTTCGTCTCTTGATCGCTTAGCAACGTATGTATAGACGTACATAGATCGCTTGTCTCGTACTGGTTTCCACGCTAGTGAGCGACCTAGTTTAACATCTTCGCAGCTATGGGAGGGAGTATCCCAGCGTTCTTCTATGGATCGTACCACTGGCACAGTTGATTGAAGAACTCCTCTAGCAACCATTCCCCGGCATCATGCACGACTCCACATGCCTTGCAGGCTCGGAGGCAGTGGTCTGTCGGATGTTGACCCGCGCATTTCGGGTAGGTGAGCAAGCTCCAGCAGTCCTCCGCCGAGTGACGGCGTGATCCGCAGAGTCGGCACTTGGGTCGGTCGTGGACCTTTCCACCAGTCTCAACGTCGCGACGCGCGTTCTCTGGTTGTGACGCATGCCTCGTCACAAACATCTTGGGCTGCTCTTGGTCGTCCCGATCTTGATCGCAGATCTGGTCGTCGTCCGAGTCTCCCTCGCGTCCCGAGTCGTAATCATCGGTCGTCATCTGGAGTGCATCGACGGCCTGGCCGGCGTTGGTGTTGGCGATGACCCCTTCTGGCGGAATCGGTTCGAGCCGAAAAGTGTCTTCCTCTTGTGAGCTTAGCCGCGTTGCCACGCGCGAAGATTTTTCTCCAACGTGGCCGTGTCCGGGACTTCCATCAGCGTGAGGCAGGATGCCAATTCCTGCTCCTGCACACCCAAGGTGTTGATGAACAGCTCGACATGCTCGTGTTTCTCCTCTGGCGTTCCATCGAAGTAGCGGATCTTCGCCCTCATGCCTGCGACATTCAATCGGTAGAGGTATTCGAGCGGCGTCTCATCAACATGTTTGGACGCGTGGTAGTAAAGGCTGGCCATAGACACGCCTTTGCCGTAATACTGAACGCGGAATTGCTCCGTCAATTCGGTCAATGATTTCTTCACGGACTTCTCCAGTTGTAGATACTATTGGCGCGCCGGACCGACCATCACATCGCCGAAGGGCGTGCACACCTCGTCTCTCGTCATTCCATTGCGTCTTGACTCGGACTTAAGACAATTGAACCAGACGCGGTTTTTCTCCTCACTTGCGTGTTTCCCGTTGAAAGCCATCCGTTCAGAGAACACCGAGAGGCGCACTCGTGCGACGCCGGCTCCTGCCGTGGCTGTGGACACATCGGCAGCAGTTCCCGTTAGACCGGCATCTAGATCAAAGAGATCGTTTGAGTCCTCGACTTGACCTCGTTTGGAACGGGACGGTGAGCATGAGATCACGGACTTAATCATTCGGCTCTTGTGGAGCCGTGTCCGTCGTAGTATGACGGAGCACGGGTAGCGTACACGCATAGCACGGGGCAGATGATGTTGTCCCGGGTGCAGCCTGCATCCTCGTCGACTGCATCAGTCGGACGATCGCGTCTTCCAAGGCCTTGGGTATTGCCCATTCAGAGGACGGGGTTTCCGGCTTGGCCGGGGTCGCAGCGAGCTGCATCACACGTGGCGGTCGGCGCATCGGCATCCGCTTCGGGGACTCGACGCTGTCGGAGTCTTCACTCGACGCATACTCCGGCGGGGGTAAAGCGGGCCGCGTCGTGAGCCTACGACCTTGCATCGGGGTCGTCTTACACTCGACCGTGTCAACCAAACCCATGAGTGGAACGAGGATCGCGTAAATCGCGTTCGTCCACGACTCTCCAAGTTTCAGTCATACAGCCTGTACTTCTCGAAGGTCCCTAGTACGAAACCCGATTCGCGCAGGACGGCAAGCAACGGTTGGGTCGTCAGACGTACGCCCGTGAGCTTCGAGAAGTCCAGCTCGTGGAACGGCCCCGTTAGTTCACCGATCAGCTCCAGTTTGATGAAGCTGAGGATCGGGTCCCGTTCTAGTTGCCGAGACAAATCCGTTCGGCTGAGCGCATACTCCAACTCCTTCGCGGTGTATTGGCGTCCCGCGTCTTTGGATCCCGTCTTGGGCGTCGGTTCGTCCTCCGACTCCGGTGCGCGAATCTTCTGCTTTCTGTTGGGCTTGCGCTTCGCCGGTTGGGCCCAGGTGGGTGTTGGTTGTTGGTCTTCGACTCATTCAAGCTTAAGGCCGGTCGGACCTCGACTTGCGTCGAAGTCTGTGGCGGTTCCGGGCGGAGCCACATCGGGAATGGCAAACTGTTCTTGTTAGCCCTCGTGAGGGCCCTGGTCCCATGGCCTGTCGTGAAAGTTCCCTCCGAGCCCCTCGACGCGACAGGACTATCTTCTTCGAGCTCACTTGCCTAGGATCGAGTCTTGTTGTGGTGTGGGTTGTCTTAATAGATGGGTGTCAGTTCTGACGACGACTTCCGGCCTTGTTCACCTTCCATTGTTGGGTTTGTCCGTGGTCGTGCGGCATTATCGGGCAGGCGTTTCGAAAGGGGTGCGAGGCATTATCGGGCCACCACTCGTTCTTCGTAGCCAGCGTCCTGTTATCGGAGGACGCTTTGACTGTATTATTTTACGTGTCCCTCACTATGGGCATGGGGTGTTGGGGGTGAGTTCACCAACCAATCCGAACGTCGAGGGGCGCACTTATCGAGGCGGCTCTACTTACCGAGTGCTGGAGGGCTTCAGACGTTGACGCGCGAAGATGACTTGGGACTCCTGTCCAACCAGTAACGTAGGGAGACTTTTGCACAACCAAGACTATTGGAAACCGATCGTATCCAGTCTATCTTATCCACTGGCTACTAACGTTTGTCGGACGGTCGCACCCTGTTACAACCCTAATACCCACGGTACCATCACCTGAGTCATGATACGGACCGCAGATCGGCTAGATCGGAGTCCTTCACAAGCTAGATCGGGGTCCGTCACAAGCTGGATCGGAATCCGTCGTAGGCTAGATCGGGTCCGAGACAGAGTCACTGTTTAGGGATGTCATCTTTATATGACCATCTGAGGCGACTCAGAGAATCAGATCGTTCGTCCATTGTCATTCCTTTCCCGTCATTCGCTCGCGTCGAATTCCAACTGCGCATCGTGTTGTCGTACCTTCCTGGAGCACTCCACCACATTGCGAAGCTCAAGTCAGTCCGATATCTGCATGTGGCGCGTGAGTACAACACAACGGCTGGTCACTCGCTGATGAAGCATTGGAGTCGAAGTGGGGCTCAACGACCACCATAAGACCAAACTCAAGGAGTTGAATAGAATCCAGGAAATGATCTATGAGCCGTCTTCAGACGACATCAAGGCCGAAAACACGGGTTCCGGGACTTTCGTTCAAATTTTGGGCGGAATGATACATCGTATTCATGTCATGGACAGCGTTTTCCTGCTACAACGCAAGACCTTTGCTGACTTTGCGCATCAAGAACACACAGAAATCTCAACTACAATCTGAAGTCAGACCAATACCAAGAAGAAAAGAATGCACTTTGAGGATGAAGTTCCTAAAGAAACGACTAATGCTGAGGCAACTGAGGCAGCCATCAAGAACTCGGAAATGCAGATACAACGACCAAGTGCTGAGGTCCGATACGAGCCAACAGCCTATGTCATTGGCCCTGTTACAGTACAAGAAGAGCGAAGGCGTCGTATCGCCCAGGCCTAGGATGAGGAGCCGAGGTGGTCGAACCTGAAAGCCATTCTAAAAGGTGAAACCACCGCGATGACGTACAAAGAGGTTCAAGAAGCCTGGAAATGGGCGGACAACTTTGTGGTATCAAGTGGCAATGTCCTGTAATACACAGGTGTGAGCAGAAAAAAGGTCGATGAAAACTTGGCCGAGGTGTCGTTAAGACTTGTGGTGCCAACCACAATGATCCAAGAGGTGCTACACAACTGTCATGACTCCATCGAAGGAGGACACCAAGGTGTCGTCCGCTTTTACCACAGACTAAAACACGACTACTACTGGATCAGCCTCTACGCAGATGTGGAGCAACATGCGAAATGATGCCTCGACTGCAGCTCAAGTGAGAGCTTGCCGCAGCTCAAATGCTACTCACCTGGCAATGTGCTCGCAGAGCGACCATTCCAGGTGGTGTCAATGGACTTTGTGATCCCTCTGCCGAGATCTCGTCGGGGAAACACTGCTCTGTTGTTATGGCAGCGCTCGTTTACCGGGTTCGTGATCGCTAAAGCGATGTCGGACACCGATGCACTGACTATGGCCCAGGTGTTCGAGGAATGCATCTATAATCGATTTGTTGCTCCGTCTCTTATTCGTCATGACCGTGACCCACGCTTCATGAGCGAGGTCTTCCAGGCCTTCACTGAAAAAATACAAGTGTAGCCAAGGTCAACACTGATCTATCGCCCACAAGTGAATGGACAGCAAAAACGGTCGGTCAAAAACGTGATGCAGTCTGTCAAAGTCGATGTGGAAGACCCGTTGCTGCCAGATAGAATGAGATCACTGAACGACTAGTATTTGTGATCAACAACTCTCATGATATGACCAGTAAAGAGAGGTCATTCTATTTGGGGCACGGATGAGATGCCCATACGACGCTACGAGCAATGACGACCTCTCTGAAGCGAGGTGTAGGTAAACAGACTGAGGCACTACTAGCCTGGCGGCGAGAGATTAACCGCCAGCAGCAGATTGCTCTGGAGATGGCAAAGGAATACCAAGCTGCGGAGAATGCCCGACGCGCTAGAATTCATATCGAGAAGCTCAGTCGTAAAGAGCAAGCCGCAATATCAAAGAGTGTGAACGACGACTCGCCCGACGACGGCTCGGAACCGAAGTCTCTATTTAAACCTGGAAGCCGATTTGGTTGTATATGGAGCGAATGAAGCCAGGACTAGTTAAGAAGCTGGCTCGTCGATGGCACGGCCCCTTCAAAGTGAAGCGGAAGTCCGAAGAGTTCGCGTACGAGTTCGAGTTACCAGATAAAATCGGGTATCGGTTCTACCCGGTGGTGCACGTATCTCGGCTGAAGACTGTGAAGGAATTTTGCGATCGGCCGAAGGCGCGACTAGCTCGAGATGTTGTTGAGTATGCGAGATTTGACTTCGACGAGGAGATGTTGCCTGAAGACAGCTGGGAACCAGATGAAGTTGCCGGTGAATTTGAGGTGGAAGCAATCTTAAGCGACAGAACGCCAATGTCAACCAGCACGGACAGACCTGTGCGTGAATTTGAGGTGAAGTGGGTTGGCTATGAGGCAACTACATGTGAACTAGCCTCTAACCTGTCGTTTGGAGGGCTCCTGTACGACTATTTGCGGAACAAGAAGAGCGAGCAACGTCGACAGATGGTCAAGTCGCTGACGAGGACTGAAAGTCGAAAATAACAGGAAGAACGAACTGGTTGTGAGGCAAAGCAGCTCACAATACCAGACAAAAGTTTGCTACTGCTGTTGTATGAATGCATGAATTGGATATGACATGAATTTCTCGAAATGCAATGGAAATGGAAGTGATGAAGAAAGAATTGAACGATTAACTGCTCTACAAAACAGTTAAACAGGAAAACAGGTAACTCAGATCTCGGCGACAACACCAGACTCCAGCGGTGGAGATGACTCCGCCAAGAGCAGAATGAAAGTGGCATCAGCCGCCTCATCACGAGGACTGGTCGAGGTGTCGTCAGCCGAGTCTTGGTCCAGACCCATGGTGGCAACGGTGTCAGCGTCGTCCTCTCCAATTTCGCGTCCTCCATCTCCTCATCCTCGTCGGTTCCAAGAAAACCACCATCCCACGAGGAATCAATATCCTCCGGCGCCAAAGAAGAGTCAGGGACGATGCGTGGACCGAGAACTTCGACAGTCGAGTCGGCTGGAAGGAAGAGCGACACGTGAGCTTTGCGCGGAACGTACAGCGTGTTGTACGGGTGCTACCCCGGACAAGACAACCAGTCTACACGACATGGCTCGTTCACTAGCGCGGCCTCAGCACACCAATCGGCTGACCCAGGAACCCAAATGAGATTCTCCATAGTAGAGTCGGGACCAGCAGGGTCTCAATTGGAAGCGAGGCGTCCGGACCGACACATCAAGGTCACATACGGCCAGGAAGATATGTCCGCAAGTTGTCGGCTCGGTCTGCGCATTCCTTGTTGTACTTGAGCCACACTATCTTCAAGTTTTCGAGCGCTAACTTGAACCGACGACGTTCCTTGGGGTCCTTGATATTCCCGAGCCGAGCAGTCATGCGGGAAAAGAAGCGCTTGAGAAGTTCTGAAGAAACCCAGTGCTTGCAGTCATAGATGGCAAATCTATGCAAAACTCATCACTGCTGACTTCTTGTTGCCATAGCCGCGAAGCCGGCGCCAAACTCCACAAAGCCGCTCCAGGTAGTCGGCTCGCTGGGAGATATGAGAGTCCAGCTGGAAGTCGGTAGTGTCGAAGAGACAAGTGTGCTCTGGTCACTTGGATATTTGCTTCCGCCATGGGTGGTCGTCGGCCATGAACTTGCTAAATTTCTCGATGCCAATCGTTTTGCACTTGACCTCCGCGTCAGAAGGCACCGAGAAGGCAGGAACTGCTGATAGAGCTTGACCCGGTACTTCTGCGCGTTGACGGTAGTGAACTCAGGAGTCACATACGGAGTCAGCAAGTCGAAAGCGCGTTGAGCAAGCTTAACCAACTCTGGATACTTCGAGATCCAGTCAGGCAAGTCAGAGTCCAGCAAAGACTCGTCGACGACATCTTGCGACTTCACCTTCTTGGATGAATGAGATGTCTTCGGAGACAACTTGGACTTTTTCTTGGAGGTCGTCGCCGTCTTGACCTTCGCGGACGACTTCTTCTTTCTGGTCGACTCGGGCGAATCCTTCTTCTTAATCTTAGGCGATGACTTGACGTCAGCCTTGACTACTGAAAGATGCTTGGCCTTAGGCTTAGGACAAGTCTCCTCGGCACAGGAGCTCTTGATGGGCGGATTTTGAGGAGCTGGTGCGCCGAGAACATCGTCGAGAGAATCCTCTAGACACTGGCTCTCCAGCCGGAGCTTGGATAACTCGCTGTCCTCGTCCTCGTGAGCCTCAAAGCCTTCCGACCTTGAAAAATCGGGTTCAGAGCTAGACTCAGGCTCAGACTCAGATGAAACCGAAATGACGGATTCATCTGACGACGAGTACCCAGGTGCGGCCTTGGTGCCAGCCTTCTTAGAACGAGACTTATTGGTCTTGGATACCGGAGACTTGACCGACTTACCAGTCGAAGACTCAGAAGTAAGAGACTTGATGTCCGAGCGAGAACCTCCAGCCAAGCGAAATGATGGCCGGAACTCGGCACATATGGTCGCCTTGCGCTTGGGGTGAGGAGGGAACTCGACATCGACTCCGCATCAGACACCGCCACATCTACCTTCTTCGGAGCGAGCCGGTCTTGCCGCGAGCCGCTTGCAGGAGCACTTGCCGTGCTCGACGATGACTTGGGTGATGGCTGAGGTTTCTTCGCCGGAGCCGGAGGGGTTGCAGGAGGAGAAGCCTTTTGCTTTTTCGGTAGTGGTTGGAAAGTCAGCACCGAAGAGGAAGTTGCCGAACACTCACGGCCCCTTGGGGAACGTCCTCACCAGAGTCACCACCACCGAAATTCACATCCTCTTCATCGCTGGCGGAGGCCTGTCGCTTGTCCTTGTCTTTCTTCCCGCTGGAAAATCGCTGAGCAGGGGGCGTCGAGGCAAGCTGCGAGTGATTAGGAGGGACAGTCGACGACGAGGACTGTCCAGCAGGCGTGGACGAAGACGGCGCAGAGCTTGAAGCAGGTTCAGCGCCAGTAACGACGACTGGAGGTCCAGTCTGCGTGATGGAGAGCGACCGCGAAGAATACGGCGACGACGTAGGCGCCACTGAGGACTGTGGGACACTAGGAGCTGGACTCGAAGTCGGACGAGTGCGTGAATCTTGAGCCGCAGGAGCAGACGGCTTGCGCACGGAGACCGTGAGAGGGGGTGTAGTGGGCAAACCCGCCCCAGCAGCTGCTTCCTCAGCCGTGCGCTGCTTCTCAGCACGAAGATCCGCGAAACGAACCGTCACTCGAGCGATGGCGTCGGTAAGCGAGTCCTTGTCGCGGCCGTCCAACAGCTCAAACTTGTAGACTGCCGGCAGAGCACGGCGAGGCTGAGGGTCAGGAGCCACGGTCTCCCAGTCGATCTTGTCAAGCAACCAACGATCAGTCAGCAAAGAGACAAATGAACACCTGGGAAACTGGATCTCACCTTCAACTATGATGACCAAAAGCTTCCGGGTCCATATCTTCGCGCCGAAGGCGCGAACCGAGAGCTGAGTTGGCTTTCTCGGGGCGCTTGACCCGACGAACGAGATCCCGGTTGCGCTTGCTGAGCTTGAGTGTGAGGATAGTCTCTCTTGGATCGGTGAGTGACAGTACCTTGTGGAGGTTGTCTTGAGACTTCTTGAACGCTTGGATTCCAACCAGATACTCGGAGCGAACGTGATTTACCTCCTTGGACAGGATCTCATTGCTGCGATGCGCCAGCTGGTGTAGGTCCTCGAGGCGGTCGTACATCTCTTGATGACGCTTGATTACAGCATTCATCTCGCTGATCTGGGAGTTCAAGGCCGCCTCGCGCAACCTGACGAACTTGACCTCCTTGTGCACGGCGTCGCGGTCAGCCGAAAACTGCTTGGTCCAGGTTTTCGCGTTAGCGCGAGCACACTGCTCGGAGATGAGCTTATTCTCCATAGCTGCGCGAGAAGCCTCTGCTGACTTGAGTGACGCTTGAGCTACCACTAGCTCTCGCCCAACCTCAGTCAAGGCGTCGGCAGAAATAGGTTCGCTACACATCAAGCCGTCTTCGAACGACCGCGCAGCATCCATTTGTCGCTTGAAAGTTGTGCGACCACGGACATTTGGTCCCCAGTGAAGTGTGGCATAGAATCGCAGCATCTCGGCGAGCCGACCACACATCGCCTGACAAGCGCTTTCCAGCGTGTACTGAAAAGACGTGTTGAACAGCTCGCAAATTCGCTCCTCGCTTAGAGGGGGCGAAACAAGGGGAGTGGCCGCAGAAGGATTTGCAGCACGAAGAATGAATGATTGGATGTCAGCCAGACGGAAGTGAAACGATGCTACGTAAAACGTACCGTGAAACTGAGTCGAGTCTCAGTCGCTGGTGAACAAACCGACGGTGAATCCGAGTCGGAGTCCGAATCATCAAAGCGGTTTGGATCTTCAGCAGTCATGGCGATGATCGGAGGTGCTGGGGACCACGCGTGACGAGTGTTAGTGGAATGATGATGACAAAGAACGAGATGATGTCGCTTACCGACGGGTCAGGGGGAGTTGTCGTCTGCGACGACGACTCAGCAGGTTCCTCAGCGAGAGTTCCCTTGATGCCTGCGGAAGTTGTGGATGCTCGAACTGTAGCAGGAGACGTCTGCAGTAAGGAGGCAAGCTGCACTGATGAGCACAAGGTCCAACGGCAAGATACGGTGAAGGTGGATACGTACCGGAGTTG